ATTTTAAGTGTAATTCAAATAGAAGTGATATTTTTCTCCCTTCTCTTATTGTTTATGTGCATTTCATGTAATATTTTACACAATATATTTTGAACTTTTTGGAATATATTGATAATAGAATCATGGTTTCAGAGAGTATGGAAATAAATAACATTAAGATTAATAATAACAATGTATACCTGTAGCATGGGAACTTACAAATACTCCATGCAAATGATTGACAGGACTTGGAATGTGTTTGTTGCCTTTTATGTTACCTAAATTCAAAGCTCAACTTGTTTGGAATTTCAAGTAGCTGGAATTAAGATGTATTGAAATTCTTCACCTTTCATGCATGTATTCTTTCATGCCATATATAGATAGATAGATAGATAGATATTGTAACAAAAAAAACAAACAACAACCTTACTGTGATATTAGATTAAAAATTAAATGTAAATTGTATTTAAAATAAAGGAAAATACCATAAAAGAAAACTTTCTTTAGTATGTTCCAAGTCCTTCCCAAGAAACACATCAATTCAAAGTAAATCACAGACAAGTAACACAGAACCCATTCTGATGACCAATTAAAATCAATTTCAAATTGCCAATATCTTGCTAAATTAACCACATTGTTACAACACATATTTTTAATAAGCATACAATCAATATGGATAACTTCATCAAAACTTATTACACATACTTTTTTGGATGTTGAGTTTTAACAATGTATATTATTTCTATCTAACAAAATAGCACAATTTGGATGAATTCACTCTCAAGGAACAACAATGTGTTGTTATACCCTCTTGGGAAAATGTTAACACTGGCCTTCAGAAAGTATGTAGCTGAAAAAGCTTACTCCCTTTAAGGGAAAGTTTGGTTTAGTGTTTCTTTAAAGCAAAGGAGAGACATATTGGAGGTGAACCAAAATCCATCACTCTATCCCCATTAATAGACTCAGCATTATAATACAACAACTCTAGTTGCCATGTAGGTACCATGCCTTTAGCCCACAAAATCTCATTCCTTTTGTATGTGTCACTATTGAACACTCTATTGTATTCAACAACATTCTTGAAAGATCCATGTTGGGCATTCTTCCAAAGAAGGCTTACCTTGGAAAGCTTTTGGATCAATACTATGTACGTAATCACATATGTTTAATAATAGAAAATATCCGTATCACTATGTGTTATTGTTGCTTTTGAAAAGTGAAATGGTATTGTAGGATTTGTAGTCAAACTAAGTACCTTTCAAAGAATGTCATATTTAAGCTTCAATTTTTTGTGTGTTGTAGAAGCAATCCACTTTACAATATTGTGAAACTTACATCTTATTCTCATTTTCATTGCTATAATATCAAACCAATCCATTTTTATATTTAGTTTGTTGCATGTAGAATTTTGTACTTTTACAAATGGGTATTCTCAAGGACTACTTTATGGTTTGTTTGTATGCGACAAGAAATAAGAATATATCAACTTAGTACAAAATCTGCAAGATCTTAGTTGACCATAATTTGAGCATTTCCCTTCACAACTTTCCTATTATGATCAAAGACTATTCATCACAAGAAATTTGAGCACAAACAAAGAGTTAAAATGAAATCTCCTATGGCAACTCTAGTTAAAAGCAACTTTTGTTTTGTTGAACCATTTAAAATATGCTTTTAGGATCAATTAGTTTGGGGATATGTTGACAATAATTAGACAATAAATTAATATATGTTGAATCCTTGACGCGTTGTACGTCCAAAACATCAACCACATTGGATGATTTTAGGATGAATGGTTTATCTCATCCACAACATGATAGAGAAGAATGAAACCCATTGGTAAAAGGCTGACACTAGTACCCCGATTTTTATTCAAAGCTTAGATTCCTTGCCAAAACTTTCACCAGAGCTTTAAAACACTGCCAACCCATAAAGGAATTGTCAGGTCCGTATACATAGGAATGTTATATGTAATTGTTGTTTAATTAACAAAACCTTACAAACCCACACATGCAATCTAAAGAAATACTATTGGGTGAAACATTCCTTCATCCACATGAAATTTGAAACGGGAATTCTCTCAATTTAGTTAACTTTCTTCTTTTTTTTTTTCTTTTTTTTTCTTTTCCCTCTCACTCTAAGAATCTCGCACTTATTGGTTCCTATTTCATCCATATGGATGAAGGGATGTGACATGGCTCACTTCATGAGAAGCTTGTGATGGATGAAAATGAGGAATTGGGCACTTCTGTTTAAAAGCATCATTCCATATGGATGAAGGAATGGGAATCGGTGGCTTACTTTCATGAGCTTGCAGTGGATGAAAACACGGAAGCAGAGACCACGGTGATAGGGGCGTAGGTTCGGGAATAGGACAACCGTGTCACGGAAGGGCCATACATAGCACGCCTTTAGATTCCATGAAAATCTCACACAATCTCTCACAAGCTCTCGGGGGATATGGCGAAATCGTGACTGCTCGGTGCCATCGCAAAAACAGCAGCCGAAAAGCTCGATCCAGGTGCAGCATGCATGCGCAAAAAAAAGAAAGCAATGCGGAAATCAAGAAAAATAGAATGAAGACGACCGTGAAGAAAAAGAAGAAGAGGAGGTAAAAATCGAGGAAGAAGACTGATGGCGGAGGTATCAATTCGACGAGGGAATGTTGATGCTGCGAGATCGGCAGCAGCACCGGCAAGATCCCTGGTCTCACTCGGCAGCAGCAATACAAGGGGGCAGTTTTGCGTCGCAATCTCCAACACAGTGGGTCCCAGAAGGGCAGCAGCCAGTGAGGCGCCCACCCCCCTCCAACCCCACTGGAGGCAACAACCGCCGGATCAACAGTGCGCGCACTGTGCGTCCAGGACACGGGAGCGATGGGCGCCCCGATGCGAGCGCAGGCGCAGTTTCGTTTGGCTCGCGTCGGAGGTGAGAGAGAGATAGAGAGAGATATGGAGAGTGATGGAGAGAATTTTTTGGCTTACCATGCAGCTGTCCTTGCAGCAGCAGCCAGTTCCACAGTGGCAGAATGCGGGAGCAGCAATGAGGGTATACTGTGACGGTGACTGTGGGCTGGGCTGGGCTGGGCTGATAAGCTCCCAGAGTTCATGAATGCCAAGAGGTGAGTTGCCCTGCCACGGGGCTTCTATTGACGCAGACGCCACCCCTATCCGATATTCTCGTCTCTGACATGCTGTACGCGCTGGAAGTCCCAGGCGTGACCAGATGGAAGGCGAAGGATGGAGTGAAGGTGAAGTCTATGGCAGCATAGGTGAGCCTTGGACACTCTTTTTGGAGGAAAAGACTGGCCAGAACTGAATCCCAGTATGGACAACGCCGAGAACTTTCGGCGATGTCATGAACTCGTCAAACCGTAGTTGACAACGGAGAAAGTCGGCTTGTGTTACTCTACTGGCTGTGAAGTTTATCCTGCCGCGGTCGGTTAAATGATAGAGGAGGAAAGCGAGGGGAAAAAGAGCACGAATAAAACAAGGGGGCAGCAATTATCAGGGTTGACTGGAGTTGTTTTGTATCCATGTGGGTGTGTCTCAAATTGGTGGCGTGGGCAGGAGCAGTAAGATCATGCTCAGTATTTTTTCTTGACGTGTATCAAGTTTACTGTAGACAGCTGTTGGAGACAGCTTGTGGGAGGATGAGAAGTAACCTGAGGTCAAGTTTGAATTTCAAGCTGCCACAAGCTTGTCTCACAAGGAAGTGTTCTTTCATTTGCAATTTTAACAAGAATGGACTCTTTGTTGCACACACAAGAGCATATTAAAAGGAAGTTTCTATTTATTATTGTTTTATTGTTATTATTGAGAGTTCTAATCGAAGATGGATCTGGACCCTACAAATCCAACACCACACTGGATGCAAATACGCATAAGCTATTTATATATCGCGCAATCATATTCCACTAAAATAAAAGTGTCTAGATCTCATGTTGACTATTGGAATAGCAAACCATGCATTCCATCGACTATGCAATCTCAATGTTACATGTACAACAAAACTCTGTCGTGAAATGAAAGGCGGAAAGTAAAACGGCTAACATGTGTGTGTGTGTTTCTCGAGGGAGAAACTTGAATTAATAAAGAAATAAACATATTCCATGTCCCCCGTTAATGTTCTCAATGTCGGATGAGCAGAATCCACATGCACATACGTCCTTCATTCCCAAAATTCTGTCAAAAAATCGCAAGGGAAGAAGAACACAAATTTGGTGGTAAAACAAAAAAAGGATCAGATTGATTCAACAGTTGCTCCGGGAACACTTTTCAGAGGGATTGCTGGCTGTTGGACTTTACCTCTTCCGTGAAGAACGATGCCTTGTTCTGAACTTGCCTAGAAAACTTTAGCGAAAAGTCGTGTGGTAATCCTTGCAAGCAGGGAACTGGGGGTACCTCCGGGAGAAAAATCGGCGACAAAAGGGTCGCAGCATCACGGGTCAGAGGACTTGGATCTCACCCGGTAGATTGAGCTTTGGCATCGATCATATCGAGTGAGACTACCACATGATTGACCAGATAGCACTTGCCGGCAAAGTTAGTTACAGTAATCCGCCAGTACCGGAGGAAAGGTACCCTGGCGGCCGAATTCACCAGCTTACAGACGGTGTACGATCTCCTGTTGACCGATCGGGAGCGGGAGGAAAATGGGTCCAGAAATATGACTGATCGACGGGAACAAGTCCTCGGCTGCAGTCTGACACACGACGAACCAGGCCAGGCATCATCAGTCAGGTCCTTAAAGTATTTTAGTAAAATGGGTTTTGGATTTGCAGGGTGATGCGGGATGAATATATAAAGGAGGTGTTGGTAGACGATCTCTAGTGCTGCAAGCCCCGAGCGGAAGAAGAAGAAGCAGAAGCCGAAGAAGAAGTAGAAGACAACGACGACGATCGGTTGATTGGCTGCATAAGCAAGTTGGGGACGTTCTGGCCTTGGTTGGTGGATCCCTGAAGTGCATGGACCGCTTGTGAGGGTGTCGAGAGCGGGGTTGGGATTCGTGAGGTGCGAGGAGGAGGAGGTGGTGGTGGTGGAGAAGTGGGCCAGTAGCGAGTAAAAGAAAGCACATCCCACTGTTTTATGGTATGGTTTGGTCTGGAATGGTAGAGGGGGAGCTAGGGGGGGAATGAGTCTTGGTCGGCTTGACCGGGCGGGAATAGACCACTCGGCCAGGCTTCGAGTGGAAGCTGCTGGGCGAGTCGACGACTTTCGCTTTTCCTGATCGTCTGCTGGCTATAGTTCGATTTTTTTGCTTGCCTGGGTGTCATACTCCATCGAAGCGTGTGAGAGGGATTGTTGACGACATTTCTTGCGGAAGCAGCTGATAGCGGTGAGTCGTCGTCTGGAGAGTGGAGGATTTGAGAGTGCGAGGGGTCGCAGTGAAGTGCACTGCACTGGCAGAAATACTCGTGAGCAGCCTTTCTATGTAGTTTTGGCGTTGGCTCTTGATTTTTTCAAGTCTTTGTGAAGACGTCGTGCAGTCGTAAGTTTGGTTTATTCTCTAGAAGACTATTGATCAAAGAAGCTGATTGCTGGGGGGTAATAAACGTTTTGAAGGCGAGGATTCTCGTAAGAGGTTGTAGTCGATTGGAAGGTGTAAGTTGGGTGTAAATTAGGTTAGGGGGATTCTGGGGACGAGAGACAGTTGGAGAGATGGCGCCGCAGCTTCTGCCATCGCATGCGCACAATGCAGCGGATCTGGAAGCGGTTCTGTCGAATGCCGACACAACCGTACGGAACAAGAGCCTCATGTTCGCGCTCATGCACAAGGTGCAGGAGCTGCCGCCCATGTTCGTTGAAGCGGAGGACCAGCGCCCCGTGCTGGAGATGGAGGCGAAGGCGAGTGACATGATCCCCATTGTGGACTTGTCGCTCTTGAACTCTGATGACCCGGCGGTGCGAAACGCCCTCGTGGCTGACATTGCCGAGGCGTGCGAGAAATTTGGCTTCTTTCAGGTCATGAATCACGGCGTGGAGGAAAGTTTGATTCGCAGGTGCGAGGCAGAGGCGCACACGATGTTCGAGCTTCCGCTGGAGGTGAAGGAGCGAGTCCACCGGCCTCCTCAGACCTCCTTCGGCTACGGAGCCAATACTTGGGTCAACCAGACTGTTATGCACTGGGCTGAGAGCTTCCACATGCAGCTGTATCCGAAATCAAACATCCGAGAATTCTCGAGTAAACTCTTCGCCGAAAGCGATCCCACCAAATTCAGGTTTGTAACCCTCCTCCCCCCCCCCCTTTCTTGCGCCATTCAATCTACCTCTGCGAGTTTTTCCTGAGGCCAAACCTTGTCGTCGTCGGGATTTATACCAGTCGCTGACGGATTTGGTGGTTTCTCGATGGCGCAGCTCGACAGTGGAAGAGTACATGGCCAAGATTGAGACCCTCGCGAGGCAACTCCTGGAGCTTCTCACGGAAGGCTTGGGATTGGAGCCCACGTTGTTCAATCATTACGTGGAGCAAGAGCGCATGATGTCAATGCGGTTCAACCTGTACCCTCCATGCCCGCAGCCCGACCTCGCAATTGGCTTGCGCGCGCACACCGATCCTCACCTGCTCACCATTTTGCACCAGGACGAGATTGCTGGACTACAAGTGCACATCGACGACCAGTGGATCACCGTCAAGCCGCGCCCCAACTGCTTTGTCGTCAATGTCGGTGATCTCTTTCAGGTACCGTCACTTTCCATGAACTCAAAGCTCAACATTCCTGTGGAGCCAAGATTATCCCCCTCCCAGTCTTTACTTCTCGTCTGATTTCCTGCCGCCGGGTTAAATTGAGTTTTATATTGTATCGTTTTGCAGGTCTTGAGCAACACGAAGTACAAGAGCGTGCTGCACAGAGCAGCCGTGAACGGGACTTCCAAGCGTCTCTCCCTGGCCTGTTTCCTGAACCCGCCTCTGAGCGCAACGGTGGAGGCGCCCCCGGAGCTCATCACACCCGAGCGGCCGCAAGTGTACCGCCCCTTCACATGGGGAGAATATCTCTCTAACGCCTACAAATTCCATCCGGCCACTGGCGGTGAGCGGCACGAGCGGTTCTTCCTGGAGAGATGACCTTGGCATCATCTCCACCGTGTTGGTTCATGTTGTTTCTCTCGCAGCTTTGACCCCGTGACTCAAACGTGCGATGCACCCAACTGGCAGTACCTACGTTCGGAGTAAAGCTCCGAGTAGGAATAAAAAACACACACACACATCGGCAAAGCAAAGGGTGTTTCACTCGTATTGCAGCCAAACTGATCCCACAACGGGCCAATGTACCTCATTCTTTCACTGGAATGGTCAACCATACCATCGTTGAGCATCTGGAGATGGGAGGGATACAACAAGTCCATCAAAGACGAAATCCAACAACAGAACCGGAATGTGGATGTGGGCATGGTGAGGGAGCTCGCCGGCTGATTCTCGGAGTCCAGTCAGGCAAGCTGGGGTAAATACTTGAACAGGGATTGAAGGTCGGAGGTCTGACGAACTGAAGAAGATGATTGACTTGAGCCTGTGTGGCAATTTTGTGAGTGCACTTGGCAGGAGTTTAGAAGAGCGCAGTAGCATAGTTAGGAGTTAGGAGGAGTTAGGAGGTGGTTGGTGGAGGAGCTCTCATTTTGACATCAGTCGGCTGGATTGTTGTACATTAGTAGCAATGCTGAGGCCTCACTGGGAGGCAGGGAGGGAGGGAGGGAGGGAGGGAGCTGTGAACACACACACACACACAATATTCACCACTTGTGTATAATACCCCCAACTCTTGCAAGCAGTTGCTGTACATTCGCGAAGTACATGTTATTGCTCCTGCCACATCCCTCCCTCTCCCAATTTTTTGAATAAAACACACAAAAATACACACATACACACACTTGTAGATTCCTGAATCTTGCCTCTTTTTTTCTCATCAGGTCAGATATCTCATCCCCCCTGAGACCTAGTCGTCACCACTCCCTGTCCCTAGTAAAGGCAACAGGAGGATGCTACGCTACCATGGCTTGCCCCCGCGTGAGACAACAACGCTACTGCAGGGTGTGCATCCTCAGTGACTTTTGCAACGGGGTAGCGCGGTGTGCGAGTCCCCAGTGAATGCAACTTGCGGACACGACACAATTCTATCCTCACATTGTTATTGTTGCTGTCGTTATGTACTATGCGTTGTTTGTTCGTAAGCGATGTGTTGTTGTATTAGCTTTAGCTTGGCTTGGCTTTGCTACCATACCCAGCCTCCAGATGTGCAGCAGAAGCAGCAGCAGTGGAGCAAGGATTAAGTGGATCTGAACTGGTCCACCACCAGTTCAGATCCCCCCTCCCCCCAGCTTTGTCTTCCCTCGCGCTTCTAGCTCTAGCATTATTCTTCGTATCTTCTTCTTCTTCTTCTTCTTCTTCTTATTCCTCCCTTTTATTTAAAATAAAAATAAAAATAAAAATAAAAGTTTTTTTAATATTTGGTTTTTTTCCATGCCTGGAGTCCGCTTTGTTTGCTATTTGATTCATGGCTACCTCCACACGGCAACTAGGGTTTCACCCTTTCTCTATTTCTCTCTCTCCTTCTCTCTGTTCTCTCTTCTTTCGTTACCCATTTGATTATGTAGGTGGGTGTGTCACATATTTACCAATCTCTCTCTCTCTCTCTCTCTCTCTATATTTAGGACACAAACATTCCTTCTTACGTTTGCTTGTTTTCCAGGTACAATATTGATTGAAGTACATAAGAACTAATTCTATGTTCATTGGCGCAAGATTTTGCTGATATATGTATGTGTGTGTATGTATATATATATATATATATATATATAAAGGATTAGAATTGGAATGGAATAAAGAATAGAAACAATTGGTTTTAAATATTGTAGAGTGGTTTTAAAATAGAAATTTAAAGAATCTCAATACTTTAGTATATTTAGAAGGAGAGTGGGTATATTGTTTATTATACTTATTGTTATAAGAGTGTATTGTGATATGTTATTTTTATATGTACCATTGAAGAAAATGAAAAAGTCAAAATCTAAGATTGTGTTATTATTGGAAATTTTGTAATAAAAGTAAATCCTAAACCATCATATATCTTTACAAAAGTACATTTATAAAAAATAGAAAATTAATTAGACATAAAAATATAAAAAAAAACCATAAAATTATTTTCTAAAATGCAGGTAATGTGTGGTATGTATAATTTGGAAGTTCCCAAGTTTGATAGTATTTAATTTAATTCGATGCATTAATTTAATTATTTATATATAAGATGTTATTCATAATTATTTCTGAAAGTGGATTATAAATTTAACTATAGTTTCAAAAATAATTACATATCATTCATGATACTTAATAAAAAAGATCCTCCTTGTGGTTAAAAAATTATATTATAATTTTACAGATTTATCTATTATTAGATCATTATTTTATTATTTTATTTTAAATTGATGTATATATATATATATATATATATATATATATATATTGTTTTTCTTAATAAATCTGGAAAAAATTCAAATCTCAAATATTTCATTAAAAATTTTAAAATTTTAATCTGATATTTATTTTTATGTTACTGAACATCTATACTTAAATTAAAACATGTTTCTTTATCTGATTGAATATTTTTTTAAGTGATATAATTTGAAGCATTATACTTTTTTACTTTTGCTTTTTTTCTTTTCTATATATGTTTTTATGGCATATTTTCATATTCATAAATCTAAAATATTCTACAATAATATCCTTCAAAATCATATTTTTTCTTCTTTTAGTACTTACATTTGTATTTGGTGTAAATGAATGATGAATAAACCTTTTTAACACAAGCTTTATGAAACTCAATTATTCTCCAGCAAAAGAAAGCACCTCAAAGGTTAGGAAAATGTATTATAATAAACCAAGAATAAAAAATTACAAAAAAATATCAAAAGTTTTAATTATATTTTATTTTATGTTGTCATTCTAAACAAAGTGATTTATATACACTTGACTTAAAATTTTCCTTGGAACATAAGAACAAGAAGATAAATCAAAGGACTTGTCTTTAATATCATAACCATTTTATATGCACATTCCTAAATAAGTAATTTTAAATCCAATACTAAACCATCCATATACATTTTAAAAATATATTCATACATATATGAATCTCATTTTTCTAAAAATTTGATAGTACAAATACATTAGTTCACTTCCAAACATATGAATACAATTGAATTTTGCATCTTATTTGTTCAACTCTAACCATGTCCATGCACCCAATAATTGTGATTTATAACTTCATTTGTGTATCTTGATTTGTCTCAACACACTTGAATCTATCCTCATAACTTTGCACAACTAAAACACCAACTTTAAATCTGCTATATACATCCATGGATCTAATAGTGAAAGTGCATCAGTTTGATAGAAATTTGTTAAATTTTAGTAGGCACAATTGATCACAACACATATCAACAGTACAACTCCAGGAACACACATTCTGGACATGGCTTTTCTTGCAAATAAACATTTCTCACAACATAATCAAAACTAAATTAGGACTGCATGAATACTTCATCCTTTTTGTTGAAAGCGAAGTTTCACCTTGTTTTACACTACTGTTATAGTACATTATATAAAAGCATAACTTAACATCCATCTATATCATACTCTCTTGTTAAAGATATACTTTTACATCTGTTTAAAAGCATACTTTTATCCTACAGATGTTTTGTTAAATTGTCAAGTCACAAAATGTTTCATCAAATCACTTAAAGTTGTCCCCTTAATTTTGTGAAGTCATTCTAGCAAAAAATCCATGGAAGTACATTCAAATCTATGGAAGATAATAATCACATCTAACAACCTGAGATAATCGCCACATTACAGTGAATGTCATAAAGATAACTGACCTGCATTAAACATGACCATACAAAATCAAACTTCACGTCATGGCCAGCCAATCATCCACTACAAGTCTGCAATCAGTCAAATACTACAAGTGATAATCTGCATTCCACTACCTATTCTCCTGGTTTCGATGGAATTGCTCGCCAGCATTTACGTGACAAGTACAAAATGGTTTCTATGCCAATGTTTTATGAGCCTGTGTTGTCCTCTCAATATTTACCATACAACATAACTCACCATATCCAGCAGATTCTGTATGCCACACTCAGCTAAGCCTGTGACAAATGGGGGCTGGATGGTTTCCTAACTTGCTAAGAAGTCATGTCGAACTATACCCTCTTGCAGATACAATCACAACTAATTGTGCATGAGCGTAGCAGTCAGCAGCGTCACTGTAATCCATATGCCAGAGGATATAAAACCCGACGTGAAAGGATATGTGAATGTTTACCATTTGCTGGTCAAAAAGTTGGACTTCTATGCTTCTGATATGATACAAGGGAGTACTACTGGCCAGACAAAAGCTGCTCCAGGGGAATTCCAGCACCCTGCATTCCTGATGGCACACGCTGTGGATGCATCTGCTGCCCCACATTCATCATCAGCTGGTTAAGCCACCTCCTAGTTGTTAAATCATCCTGCACGCACCCAATCCCAGATAAGTGCTATAAACGGAAATATATCAAAAAAGAAAAACAAGAAAAAAAGAAACCGAAACAAACCTACGAATATCATCGAGAAAGCAAATGTTTGGGTAGTCAAGCAACAGTTCGTTTATCATACCCGTAGACAGTTATTGAAGGTGCCGTTTTGAAGAAGTTCAGGGAGACAATTCTTCAAAGCTTCACACGCTCTGCAAGGAACGAAATTCACGTTCAGAGTGAAAAACATGGGCACGTGATAATTTGACCAGCAGAGATATTAAGGACAGGTGCATTCCCAAGCTTCTACATGGTAAAAACAAAACTCGATCGGAATTACATACATTAAGAAAAAACATTACTGGTTACCTACCTAAGGAGAAAAAAGAACCCAAAAGTACTCACCTCGGATTATCAGAAAGTCGAAGATAGCATCGAATGATATGCTTGAGGAGGCGAACAGAAGGTTGCTCAGCCAGCATTTGAACCATATTTGCAAGAACTGCGCTTACAGCGAAAAATCGTTCTGCAGTAGCGCAAATGTAGGCAAGACCAACGTCATCTAGAAGAATTTTCTGAACTATAAATGTCGCCACCTGCCAACAAATCCATCGTTTTGGTCATGTCTAGTTTCAACGAGGCCACAAAACCGTCTCGCAATGGTGCCTGGCAGCATTTGCCACTGATAAGGATTAATTTTAGTGTTTTATAAACAAATTGCTCATTATGACACTTTGCAAATCATTCAATGGAGCAAAGGCTTGGGCGAAAAATGCTACAAAAGACTTGGCGTTTTGAATGAACTAGGAAACCCAGACCACTAAAACACAGTTTACGAACTAACATGATGTATGCACAACAACGAGCATTTATGCAGGCTTCCAAGCATCAGGAGAATAGTGAATCTACTACGAGATGGAGAAGGAAGTCCTAACCAGTTATTAAGCATCTGACCATCTATTTTGTAATAATAAACACTTATGGGAGAGATATTGAGATGATATCAACAGGGTGAAAAACTCACGGTCTTGGAAAGTTCACTCCCCATTTCCATAGTTCGTAGACACAGAGGAATAATCTCTGTTGAGAGTAGAAAATTAATAACTTCAGTGTCATCCACCTGTATGTAGAACAGAGTCCCGTTAATATAAAATCTCTTCATTATAAAAACATCTACAACAAATTCCGAATTATCTCGGAGCAAGCGATGTCAAATAATGCACTAAAAAAATAAGTAAACTGACTGGGCAGACCGATACGGGGCCTGCACATTCAGCTTCCACTCCGGTTCTGAGCGACTGGCAATAGAAGTGATCACCTTAACAAGAGCACCAATGACTCCTAGGCTCGTAAGTCGAAGATACTCGAACGGTCTTGTCTTGCTTACTGTGTTCAGAAATGGATAGAGATAAAGAGGAATGTGTGCTGCAACCAAAGATAAAACCACACGATCAGAAACTGCATCCCGAATCTTTAAGTTTTAGAAAGGCCTGGAATACTATCACCGGCTACTTGCGAGGCTGCAATAATATAAACTGGCAAAGATTAACCACGCATACCGTTGAGGAAAAGAGCACGAGTGTCCGGATGTGAGGCTACACACTGCATCCACGAGTACCAAAAACATCAAATATTAAATACAGACCTTTCCTGCAAGGGAACAATCATACACCAATAACACAATCATGACCGTAACCACAATACAATATACAATCAGTCCGTCTATGGCGCTCCTATCAAAAGAAGCGTATACCACAAAGTACCTCACCTGGAGCAGAGCCAGGGCGTTGCAGACTCGATTGGAAGCACCTGCAGTCAGTGTGGGCGGAGACAACATCGGATAGATGGATACAATTTCCTGTGGCGTATTGACAAGCACGATTAGAGTCACAAGTATAAGAACCTCCTATTCTCCGAAACCCAATTACTTGGCATATTTGGGCAAGGTCACGAGTGAGGCTGTGAGCTCCAAGAAAGCTAAGGTTCACATATATCAACACAAAGAAAGAAAATCCCATGTTTGCTTGAAAGTCAAATAATTGTGAGAATTTCTTATCAGACAACACCGCGCTACTCCTCAGAAACACGAAGTCGTGATTTCATCGTAATACAAAAGCCAAGAAATCCCCCAAAGCGAGAAACTTCTTCTCACTTCTGCAAGTTTATAAACTAAGGAAGGAGACCATGAAGATGTAAGGAACCTGAAGAAGAGCTGCAATGGTGCCGCATGAGTGCCAGAGGATTGGAGCCAGGTCTGGAAAGGCTTCTCTTTTCTGCAATTTGACCATCTCCATGTTAGAAATTAGACCCAAACAATAACAACAGCCCAACGGTATCCGCGAACCTCAATAACAGCGAGGTCCACACATTCCGAGGAAGCGAAATTACAGCATAAACATCCGATGAAGCTTCTAATGAGCAGTTTATCCACCATATTTCAAGAGGGCATCCCGAACAAGACCGCTCGATCATTCCATACTGTGAACTGATTTTCAAGAAACTGCCTTTTCAGCCAGTTCACGAATCACCTTCTGAGAACAGAACCAAGGACATCTCAAGGTTCCACGAGTCCCAGGCCCATAAATTCCTCAACAGCAATACTCCAGTCAGCAATTAGGACATCCCAAACTATGGTTGCTAAGACAAAACCATGTCTTTGACACAGTTTTCTATTTTGCAATGAAGAGCAATTGTCAACATAGAATAATACACTTGCAAACACTCTACACAACGATCATCGTCACGCTTGATCACTCCGTTGGGAAATTCTAGCTAGTGCCCTAACTCATTCCTTAGAAAGGATGATACCTTGGAAAGATCAAGGAGTGCATTCTCCCGCTGCTCAGGCACAATAAGTTCCAGAACCAACTGTTCCGCACTGGCCATCGTGCTCCCCTCCTCTTTCGATATAACGCGATTCGAAAAATCTTCCACTACACCCACAAAAGAAGGCTCTTTCAAGCTACCATACCTCTCCCTCCTCCTCACCCTTCCAAAAACCTAACAGTTGAGTTCGAAACAACACCTCTGAAATTGCAAGACGGAACTTAATCGACTGTGGGTTTCCAGCGCCGAGCCCTAAACAACGCGAGCACATGGATTTCTTGGAGAAGAGCGCCTCTCTATTCTTCTTCTTCTGCTACCAACTGCCACCAGGTTGCAAACCAGCCAAGTTGCTGCCGACATGCTCCTGGTTTCGTCAGAGTTCATGGCTGAAAAGGTGTGAACGGATCAAGACACATGGATGAGCACCCATGACGAAAATAGTGGCACTTCGTACATCGTGAGTCTTGCTGCGTCAGAATGCTTCGCTCGTGTGACCCATTTTTGAGGCCCATGTAAAGGAAAGGGGATTCTACGGCCTGGGTGTTACTTCAGCTCGGAGATGGAGTTCATCATCTTGGACTTGGCCTCTGAACGTAAGCTCGATATAGGCAGGCGAGATTTTTTTTTTCTGTTTTTTAGTTGTTTTTTTGTCTGCAAGAGATTTCTCTGAGGTTTCGGTGATTGGATCATGTTTTCGAATTTCCGTTTATTTGTTTATTTCTTTTCTAGGGATGGGGAGAAGGAATTAACGACGAGCGTGGGATGTGCTGTGTTCCGTAGAATAGAATTGCATTGTCGCTTGAATAAGTCTCGTGGAACTATTCATTTTTGGGCGTTCATGTACTTCGAGAGATCTCAACTGTGGTGGAAGTAAAGATGTCGTTCCTTGTGTGTTTATCTTACTAGATTTCAATGCACTTTCTGTTTTTTTTACCGTTCACATGCTTTTTCAACAACTCAAAAGCGAAGACGAATGTGCTTAAAATGTGGTATTCATCTTACATTTTGACTCCTTCAACACTGTATATTGTGTACATGCGATGTTGATTATAGGTACAATCAGCAGCATACCTGGGTTCATGATGCATACAGTGCCCTCAAAACATGTATGACTAGAGCTTCGTTCTATAAAATATAAATAGATCCAAGACTCCATTGTCATTACGACATATTTGTCATTGAGAAGACCATTGCGAGTGTGAGTAAAATTGCTTGAAAGAAGTTGGTGAAGCTAAATGCCCAAAATTATTGCAGTCAGGATTTTGCTTAAGGCCTGGAGGTGATAAAGGAACGTCTGAAAACTTTGCTACGGCAACTCTACAAAGCTATAAGTGAGGACAACCAAAGTTTTAGAAATATAATTTCTACGCAGATTCAAAACCCAGTCAAATGGAGTGGGAAGTGAAAGCCGTTACAAGAATTTAGCACCACAGTGCACAAACTAGCTCAGTTGCTGGATTTTAGCCACAATTTCAATATTCCTTAAAAAGTGTGAATTATGTGTCCGAAGGCCCGAGCTCATCTCCTTGTGAAATTGGTGGTCCTGTTCTGTTAAAGAAGATTTTGATCTGACGTGCCATTGTGGGTCCATATGAGTTTTGGATTTGACCATGACGTGCAGGTGGTGATAACGGCTGAAAACAGAAAAGAATTAGTCGTTGCACGATGCATTCATTTATTTTTTGGTTGATGCTCAGCACCTAGAAAGTTTGCTAGAGATTACTGATCAAGCAGGAACTCTTAGGATGCTTGTGTATCAGATGATACGCATTTTTTCTTCAGGTCACATAGATTGCGTGCTGTTCAGTCAATTATTTACAATGACTGGAAATTTTATTGATTTAATTTCTGCGAAAGATGAAATGGGTGCTATAGTCGAAACAAGTTGCGACCCCTCGGCGAGTTCAGTTTGAGTTTGCTTTGAACCCTGGTAAAGCACGTCAGAGATGAGGCCAAACTTTCATTCGAAATTTGTTTCATGTGGTGCAATGTCTAGATACATATGTATATGTACAGATACATATTTTATACTAGATATAGAATCGGTTGTAGAATTGACTGCAGTGATATGCTGTTCATAGTCAACAAACAGCAGGTTTCCTGTTGAAAAGTGACTTGAAAAGCAAGCCCTACTTCGTCCATTGTGTACACATTCAGTATATCGAAGGCAGAAGTGCTGGCCTTGTCTTGGATATCAATACTTCGATGTTCGATGCACTGTTGGTGGTACTGTGATTGTTATGATGCAACAAAGCACCTTTCCAGGTTAGCCAGAAAGTCTTCAGACAACACTACAGTATCTGCCGATAATACATGAAGCTCTGAACCAAGGTTGTCACCTTTACAAAGTAGATGAGGGTATATATGCCCTCAAAGGAATGATATCCCTACACTCCACATTTCTGAGAGGTGAAAGAAACTTCACAACCATTAGCCAATATTTCAATGAAGTAATCTCCGCTTTAAAATATTTGAGAGCATGATTAGCATTAAGTATTATCCACCATCAATTGTTCATTTTAACCAAAGTATTGTCACAGTAAACATTTCCAAGGCGAAAAGAAAGATGGGAAGATGTTCCCCTGGACCTGTTCGTATCCCTCTATACGTGTTCGCGTGAAGTTTCTATCTGTCCCTTGACACCAACAACTGTTTCGCTATACCAAAGACAAATACCAGATTCTTACAGAGACAACTTAAACTCCAGAATGATAACTGTGATAGATACTATGACATGAATCACTGTTTCTCAAAATGTTAATCCGACTAGGCCTTAACACCACAACACCAACGTTCGATGTGTACAGGACAGGTTTTGTTGTACAGGGTTTATCGGCCACGGCCTTTGCGTCCTCCTCGCCTACATTTCAATGGAGATTTCGTTTCTTAGTATCTCAGAAAGCACTGCGTAAACCAAGCACCGATTCAAAAGAGAGTTGTACAGGACAAATCTCATTCAACAAGCGGGTCGACAATAGCCTTTCAACTCAAGCCTGCTAGTATCAGACTTAGAACGGCACATAATAAGGGATTTCAGTTCGAATGGACCATTAGTAATATCATGATTTAGACAATGTATTCGGCACAATTTCATCATCTTCAGCAATACAGAACGTTCGCAAATTGATCACATCGAAATGTCCGCTATATTTTCTCAGTTTAGTAACAGAGATTGCTCACTTTTCCATATTCCAGCCCTTATTAGCGATCATATTTACGACCAACTCGCTTATTTGTGCTCAGATTACCGTCACCCGCCTTATTCCTCATTGATAAATAACCGCATATGATGCAAACCAACGTTGCTATTCCACCAAGAAGGGGGATTGAAGGGTTAAACGAAACTCCCATACAAAACGCAGATTTTCCTAAGACATGGATGCAAACCTCGCCAAGATTCATAGTCTCTTCTTGCAAAGTTCTATGAACAATCATAGATTACTTTTTAAGTAGACCAGAGCAATCATCAGTAGCACAGAAGGAGCACATAATGCTATAACGTATGGTATTTCTTTGATAACCCACCTCATGATGAGTCTTTGAGAGACTGCGTGCCTCTTCGCACTCTTGCACTCTTCACACAACCCCTTCAGTTATCAAAGATATAAGGACGAGAGTCAAATTACTTCTTACTAAATGTGGAACCAATCCTATGTGATATTCAGAGTACAACAGAAATTTAGCATCTCAGCAATGTAACCACTTGTTACAACGATCTAGATACATAACTTTATACCTCCCGTCTAAAGGCGTTCACTGTCACAATTTAGAATTGATGAGCAGATTCCTCGTTAGACCAAACTGGTCTTGTAAGGACACCGAGTTTGATATGCCCTTCAGATCGTATGTATTAGAAACATTGAGACATCGATCCAAAAAAGACTTCACTGCACCATGATACTCCTTCGGATAATTGCGAAGATGGCCTGGTGGGGGACAGCTCAGTCAGAATTTGATCATTAATTCGACTACACTACATATGGCATTCTCGAAACAGGATGTGAAAATTGCGGCAATGTGGGCCGTCAACAGCGTCACGCCTACAACATTTACCTAGCATTACTTCGAAATATTCCTAACATTTATCGTAAGCATTCATTAGATAAGAATGCTTACCAACGTGATCTGAAGTGTCCCATACAACAAGATCAACTTGACCACCCAATTCCCTCAAAACCGTAGCAAACTCGTTGATGGTGTTATATGGTGCTAGGTGATCATTTGTGGAGCAAAAGATCAGAAACGGCCCCAGTTTCTGCCATCACATTCCCCTTGTAATCAAGACAATAATCCAGCTAACACATGAGGAGCAACCGAACTCAGTAACACCATCCCTTTCAGTATTACAGGATCACAAACGCTGCATAAATGGAACCCATCCAAAGAAGAAGCAAGCCAAGTGGAAAGTACCAACTTTATATAATTGAGGAACCTCTATATACTTACCGAGGATTGTTTCAAAGTGAGCCAGAAATCTGCTCGCTGAAGTTCATATGCCGGCAAGAAAAAAAAATCCATAACATTCGCCACAGCGTGTGATATTGCAGGCACAACAGGATTTGACCATCCTAACATTTGGGATACAGTAAAGCTTGCGAAACGAGCACCCAAGGCACTAACAAAATCTATTGGACTGGAATCGTGAACTTGCCCTCGCACGCACGTCTCGACAGCCCGGTATTTCCCCTGCGAGTGTGGCGTAAGTTCTATAAGTTCAAGTATTGAAGAGATCTGCTCTCAAAAGCCGTCTTCCAACGCTATATCCAAGCTCATTTCCATTGTGTTTGAAAAATTCCAGCAGAGGCGTCAAATCAGAAATATTTGTTTCAGTTTGAAGTTCTCTGCTTGCCCGAATGATTGGAAGCTATTCTGAGGTCCTCAATCTCTACATCTGTGGGTGTGTTGTGTTGTAAATAACAGTTTGCTGTAAACGAGGGAGGTCTATTGCCAAGTACTTCCAAGCAAACAACATACACCTAATCACCAGACGCTTACGACACGGAAATCGGACATTCAGGGTTCGAAAGCCTACAGCATATTGTGAGCCTGTCTCTCCCGTGCCTTGTAAAATCTGGTCCACCAGTTTTCCATCAGTGCAATGTGGTGGTAACTTACAACTAACGTCAAGTCCTTGGAAAGTCTGAACTCGTTAAGAAAACATTCGCGAACTAGCAAACTGGCTGCACCTTCCTTCATCCTCTCGATCATATGTAGATTAAAGAAATGGAAAATTGTTCAAAGCTACATAGTAGATTGGTCTAATGAAGGAGTGAAACGTACACAGGTAAGAGGATAACCTGTAAAATTTTGTACAAGCATGTTTTCGCTCCCCCAGAGAAAGTAGCAAACACAATGGGTCGTGGGTTGTCCTTAACCTCCTGCAAGCATGTAAAAGACGATGAACAACCACGATCGACAGTAATAATATAACTGGTGGGGAGTTTGTCAGAAACTTGCAGAAAAGGGAAGTTCAAGATTCTAACAAAGTATCACGACGACCTTGGCAAGCTCGTCGAGGATTTGGACAGCCAGTGCTTCAGCGCGGCTAGGAAACCATCTGCACCCAAAAATTATCTCCAAGCTAAGACTTCACGCGGTGTATTGCCCTTAAAAAACACGCGTCTCCGATGCGCTATGCTCGCATCGATTTAACTACTCACAATGTCTCTCAGTCCTACACACTATTGCCGCCCTGACACAAACTGTTGTCTCTTAGTCGTGGCCTGTTTCTGAAACTTGTTTACCGCTAACAGACCTGACATCACCACTCGAGAGAGTAAAAAATGTGAGACGAATTACAAATTGAGCACAGATGGGTGGCAAACGAGCGAGTCGCAGCCCGAAGCACCGTAGAGACGAGTATACGGCACAAGGTGCTGCCGCTTGCTAAACATCCAAGCAAACGTCACCACGACGCCCACTGTCGGCCGGTCACCCACTCTCACCCAATACGACCTCCACCTCTCGCCATGCTCGGACCCCATCGTCACCATGAGCCACGAGATCGTCCTGGGGATTGAATCTTTTCAAAAGGAACCATACAGGAACATGGTCCACACAAAAGCCTCTCTCTTCAACGATTGCTTTGACCGCCCTCGTGATTGATTTCTTCACTGTCTCCAGCTCCAAGTTCAGCAATACACCCTCAACGTCGTCTTGTGCGGTTGCCCCGTTCCGCAACTAACGACACGCGAACTTTATGACCAACGTTCCTCATCATACCGTCACACGTAATCCTTGGGGTGCATTTAAGAACAGGAATCATGAACAATATTGAAATCATAAACTCATCACATTCAGACAGTCGTTGTAAAGCAAACAAGCAGCATAGGGTCTGAGACGCCACATCCGGGGCCTGGCACAGACGTGCATGGTCACAAGGTCCCTGGCCTCCTTCGACACGCCCAATTATGACAACAATTCCCACGAGCGTCTGCATCGCAATCGCCCGCATTCGGTTCTGTGGGTCCAATCCTCATCGACTCGGCCATTTTTCACTACCAAAGGTTCACTACCAAAGGTTTCTTCTTTCCAATCAATCACACCTCATTGTCCCTTCCACCAAACCGGGTGATCGGATGAACGAAACATGTTGTCTGGTTAACCTGATCTTTCGGGTAACTGCGATGCCCTCGGAATCGCTGCGCAAAAGTGCAAGTTTACGGGACGACGAGCAAAGACAAATTAGGGTTTCAACCAACCACAACACAACATTAGGATTTCGATCAGGAAGCAAACTTTGGGTGGTAGACTCAGATTTGAGTTGCAATTCTACCAAGTTTAGCTAAATCTGTACGCGTTTCCAGAATCATGGCCTCATCTCCATCCCTTGTTCCCAACCCCCACTCCCATTGTTCTTAGCCTTCATCATCCAGACCCCCTAATTCTCCTCCGGACAATTGCCACCTTTGTGTTTATTATCCTTCCACCTCCCAACCCCCCCCCCCCTCCCATTCCCCTATGCACGATTGTCACCTTTGCAGTTATTATCCTTCCATATGTCTATCCTCCTTGTTTCCCTTCCAATAGTTGTTACCTTTGTATTTATTAGCCTTCCACCTCCCAACCTCTCTCATTCCCCTCTGGACAATTATCACCTTTGCATTTATTATCCTTCTTCCTCTCAATCCTCCTCTTTTCCCTTTGGACAATTGCCACCTCTATGTTTATTATCCTTCTACCACCTTTCCATGAAACTTTTTTATTCAACATGAGCTATTGGTGAAGTTTTTATAATATACATTCAAACTTGTTGGATCTAGAAGCTTTCGGTTTTGCAAGGTTAATTTTGAGGTGACTTTATTCAAGCTCTAAATTAAGGGATTGTATGTGAAGTCGTGTTTGTTCTTGCTAAAATTGGAAAATAAACATGCATTTATCCCTCCAAGTTTCTTTTTTAGGTCAAACAAATATTTGATATATAAATCTCAATCTAGTAATGCAACCACTCCAAAAGTTAGAAATAAATGCATTTGTATGAAAAATGGATTGTAGTGATTTATCTATGATGGAATATAGAGAAAAATTAGCAATAGTGGATAATTGTATATTATATATGTATCAGAGGGATAGAAAAAATTTGGAAAAAAAACAATTAGTTGTGCATATATACCAAGCATCAAATTTTGTTCTTGCTTGAAGAACTTTCAACCTTTCAAAGAGAACAATTAAATATATACCAAACAATACAACTTCTATGACTAAAGCATCATTTTGCAAGGTAATTTAATGTCATATCTTTGTTTTTTTTCTTCTCATGTTCCACTTCACTTTTGTAGAAGAATTAATTTCTCTAAAAATTTGACACTAAATTCTACCATCAATGTTACATGGTTTATTTTTCATGAATCTCATTTCTTAATTTCTAGATTTGAAGATTTATCTTTAATATTGATTATAGAACTTTAGAATAGTGGAATCGTATAAAATCAAATTTCAGGATAAAGAAAGAATAATATTCTTTAAAAGAGTTTTAGTATTAAGAAATTACACCATTTTTTATTTTACATACATGTTGAGAGAATCTACAAAGAATAATATTCTAACACCATACCATAATAAAGTTTTTTTTTATTGTTATTCTTCATATTTTGAATTCATCAAATTCAAGAAGGATTCTAATGCTATGATTGAATTTAACAATGTAAGTGTTAGCTTTATGTGATTTTTTTAAATATATGAATTTAGATTACTTCTATAAATTTTGTGTAAATAATGTATTGATTATTGATTTTTATTCCAACTTTTTATAAAAATTACAAAAATTAATATCAATAAATAAAGTACAAGTTGTTGTATAAGAATTTAATAAAAAATAGATGATTTAGTATTTTTTAATTATTTAAATAGTTGGTTCAGATAAATACTTGTATTAAAAAATCAAAATTAAAAAATAATTATATTGTATTATTAATAACTAATAATTAATTATAATAAATAATATTAATAAAAATAATAAAATAATAGAAGAATAATTACTTATACATATTTATTTATAAAGATTCAATTTTATTCTAAAAAAAATCTAAGTTTTATTGTATTTCAATCAAATTTTATATAATTTTTATTATATTTTAAAATTTTAAGATATTTTATTTATCTAAAAGAAGTTTAAAATAGAATTATATAAATTAAGAAAAGAAACAAAGAAATTAAGGGATATAATATAGTTCTATATTTTAATAAATATTTAAGAATTTTCTAGTATTATAAGATCTTTTATAAATATTTTTATTAAGAATAAAAATATTGACCAACATAATTGCACCTATGTAATATAAAAATAGAAATAAAAAATCATCTTACATTTAAAAGAATTAACTTCAAAAAAATTGAAATGGTTTTAAAATATAGGATTACTTAATTAAGTTTGAAAAAAAATTAACAACATAATTGTAATAGTTGGTTGATCAGTAATAATTTTTTATAAATGTTTAGTAATTGTATAATTCTTCAACATTTTGATGAGTCCTTAAATTCCTATATCATAGTTCCAATATATATATATATATATATATATATATATATTTATATTTATTTATTATTATTATTATTATTATTATAAAACTTAGACATTATGAAGAAGATATTAAAGAGAAATTGATTTCCTTATGCTACTCTATGGTGTCCAATTTAGTTTGCTTAGTTCAATTTGCATGTATTTGTTAGTACTTTTTTATTATATGTAAATTGAATATTAATATGAATACTTTGGTAAAAATATTTTGACACTAATATTTTATAAATAAATACCATTACAAGGAATATTATACATTGGATAACATTTAGACATAGTTTTGCTCCCACCTACTATCTTTTGAGATAAATAAAAAAAAATGCTCAAATAAACATAACTTTATTTTTATTTTTTAAATATATATATATATATATATATATATATTACATAATATAATGTCCTACTTCATGCAAGAATTTATTATTAAAAATCAAAATTTCACAACTTATATTCAAATAATCAACTTTTGAAATTTATTATTCAACATAATTTACCATCATCTTGTAATCCAAGGTCATAACAAAATGTCAATGCACAACTTTTGAAGCAACCACCCTATGCATCAATTTTGTTGTGGATAACTATTTTTGCTCCTAGCTAGCACCTTCTAAACTCAAAGAACACTTTGCAAGGAATAAAATCCTCGTTTGAGTGTGTATCTCTATATTTTAAGATAAGAGCAAGGACTACAATCTCAAGTACAAGTAGCAAAAAAGGTTTTTGACACTATTTAAGATTCAAATATTTATCTCGGTACTCCAATAGTGAACTCTAGAAGTAACTTCTTTTTCCTATGTTGATTTAAATTATGTGTACCACATTTACTTGAGATGATATGTCCTCACATCACCTTCGGACCACCAAAATAGACAAAGAAAAGAAACATGTCAAAGAATTTCAAACATGCTCAAATTCTTAATTGAGGGGAATGTTTACTACAAATATATTATCTTCCTCTGTAGACAAATCTGAATGAATTACTCCCCCCTGGCGTTAGTCCCGAGGCTGGTTTTGTGAAACCAATCCTCCCTCCCCACTGCTGATGTTGTTGTAGTTGTTGTTGCTTTGAGATGCTCCCAAAAAGCTTCACACAAGCGAAGAAGATGATGTTGGAGGTGGGGCCCCCTCACCTTTCTCTCTCTCTTACTCTCACTGGCTTGCTTTGGGTCCCCTTGTCTCACTTCACTAATGAAATGGAGGGGGTGGTGGTGGTGATAAGCTTCGCAATGAGCTCACAGTTGTAGAAGGGGGAGGCGGAACCATGGCCACCTGTTCTGCCATTGCGTCGCCGTTCCACGCGCTGCACACACCATCGCCATCGCCAGATTGCCTGGAGTTCTTCTTCACACGGGCTCGTTGCGCGCTCGGAGCTGAGCATTCTGCGTCGCGGAGGCAGTTTAGCACGCTCAAGTTGCGAACCAGCCCCACTGGGCGGCTCCGCCAAATCCGATGCGCAGCAGCTGACGATGATGGGGCGTCCTCAAGTGATGGTGGTGCGAATTTGAGCGATGCGGCGGAGAACGTGCCGGAGACTGGGTTGGGAATTGGAGATGGTGTTGATGTGAGGTCGCGCAAGAGGAGCGGGTCTCGTGTAGCTGACTCCACTGACTGGATCTCGTCGAGTTTGACGCGGAGGTTTGGACTCGGGGCGGGTTTGGCTTGGGTGGGTGTGCTCGCATTTGGGGTGATTTCGGAGCAGGTCAAGACGCGGAACGAAGTGTTTCGTGAGGAGCAGGGGACCAGGTACGCGTCTTTCACTCTGATGGATTACCCATCCGCTTGCAGGTTTTCGAGATTCCCTACATGGTGTCGGGTATTGGTGCCCCAAATTTGATCCATGTAGTTACAACTCTGCTGTCTGGTTCAATGTTCACAGTGGAATTGCTGGCATTGTGTCGCAATTTCGTTCGTGGTTCGTGCTTGAATCTGTCATAGTAATCTTACCCCGCTGTTTGCGTGAATTCCTATCCTATCATTTCAGATACGGCCTCACAATCGAAACCAGAGCGTTTACCAATGTGTCCTATTAATGCCGCCCTCACTGGTTACCGCTTGCGGCCTTTGATATAATGGAACCTGCTAGCATTCGATGATGTCTTCTCACGTATCTCAGACAATGAGGGTCCTGGTAGAGTTCGCACTTAGTAGATTTTCAAGACCCGTGATTACAGGATGTGAAAGCAGTGACCAGATTTATACACAGTGTAGGTGGAATTTTACGTCTTCTATTTCGCCTTTATGCTAGTCATGACCCAGTCGACAGAGTCGTCGATGCTTTTATGCACTGATCCCTCTAAACTTGTAACAGAGATATACAAGAATCAATAGAAGTCACTCTTCCTAACGGGATTCGCTACACGGAACTGCGCCAAGGAGGAGGATCCACTCCCCAACGTGGAGACTTAGTGTTGATCAGTCTCACCGGAAAGGTAGTGGGCACGGACGAAGTTTTTGTCGACACAACTGCGAAAGGCAAACGGTCTGTCGCATTTCTCTTTGGAGCCAAACCTTACTCTGGCGGAATGTGCGATGGTTTGGAATACGTGCTTCAAACGATGAAAGTGGGCGCGAAGAGGCGTGTCATCGTTCCACCAACGCTTGGATTTGGCGAGAGAGGGACAATTCTGAATTCAGGAGCAAAAGTCCCAGGAAACGCGACACTCGAGTATGTCGTGGAGCTTCAGAAAGCTTCCATTCCTCCCTCATAACGAGGATCGGACTCAAGCAGCAAAACATAAGTCCGTGTAGATTACAGATAAGTCCGCGGGATGTGATATTTTGTCTCATATGGTTTTTGTAAATCAGGAAAGTGGGAGAGTATGTAATTTAAAAGGCTAGCTCAGATTCTTGCCCATCGTTCTCGGCGTTCTGGCTGAGATCAAGCGTTGTATTGCATTAGAACCAGAGTAATGTCTTGTGCGATGTTCACACTCCTCTAGATTCATATCGCACCAGATCATCCGTAAAGTCGGCGCTGTATTCACCGTCCTCTCCATCCGATGCACACACCCACTAACGTCGGAATACTTTAAACCGTCAACAGTTCAAGGTTTTTCAGCTATCTCGGAGGATTGTTTTTTGGGAAAAAATAAAAATAAAAATAAAAATTGGTGGAGAAACAAGGTTTTGATAGAAAAGAAAAGAAAAAAAAAATAAATTGCTGAAGTGGTTGAATTGAAAAAAAGTAACAAAGTGGTTTTTGCATTTGATTCTTGTACGGACATATAGACATGGCCAAAATCGTGTATTAAAACATATTAAATCACCACCTCCATCACACTAAACCACCAACTTCATTCTTGTAAAGTTTGCCAATTATTGGTGGGCTTGCAATGGACTTGAAATCTTTTTAGAGGAAGAATGGTTATTTTTGGGTTTGTGCAAGGTGGTTTAGAATAAAGTCTATTGATTTGGTTCAAGGGCATAATAGAGATTAAAGTAATTGAACTTTAATTAGTTTGACATGCAATCTTTTTTCTTAGTGAACCAAGTCATTGTCTATCAATAATTGGATAGTATATAGGGCACCAATTCTTTGCAAGTGTCTTTAATAGAACATGTTGGATTTCCATACTAACATCAGAAATTTTGTCATAAGATTCTATAACTAATATGCTAGATTTTCATGTGCAATTTCCAACAAGATTCTATTCAATGCACTTGAAAATGAAGATCAGAATCTTTCTTACAAACATAATTTTGAAAGCCTTTATAAAATCCATTTCAACCATAACAACTAAGTCCTATTGAGATGTATGTATACAATTAATATATATAAATATTGCAAAGACTTCAATCTATCATTGTTAGATACACAATATGATTTATAATAAATAATAAAAAAAATCACCTCATCTTAACTCACCAATCTACACAACTCTTACAACTCTTACAATAATACAAGTTCTTGGTCTTATTGGCTTGATGTTTTTTGGTTCAATTTTGAAGCAAATTTTGTATATGCATGCAATCAAATGAAGCAACTCTTAACTTAGCATAATATGCTTTCCAAAAAATAAACAACTAGCAAACTTTTAATTGGGTATTGAGAATTAACTCTTTTTAGGAATTGTTGTAGGTAATTGCTAATACAAAGATAAAGACTTGACTTATAGAAAATATCTTAATTACATATTTATTACATACTAAAGTTACTAGATTTTTCTAAGTTTTTTAATATAGGTTTTGCTTTTAAGTCCATTTTTTAATGCTCCAAATGCTTTGGACTGGTCCAATATCTATGTATTTTAGGTCAATAACATGTACGATAGTATCAACAACCCATATGGGTGTTATTGAATAGCTTTGTATATCCTTCTTTGCACAATTGTTTTTTCTAACCAATACTTATATAGATCCATGCTCCCAATCATGTCAAGCTTAGTGTATTTGCTGCTTGAATTCATTTTCATATGCTATTCTAAATATGGCCTTTTCAAGTGATATTTCATCTATGATACAAGTTCAAAGTATTCCATGATATTTCAAAATATCACTTTATATTTCACCAAATCATCCACCTTACACAAAATGGATGATTTTAAAATTAAAATATCAAAAGAGAAATAGATCAAATATCAAAAACTACGTCACTTATCTTAATTCTCTTTCTTCGTTGACTCCATACTTGGGGATAATAAAGTTTGAATCAAGGATAATATTAGAGGTAATATAAAGGAATAATAAAGTTTGAATCAAGGATAATATTAGAGGTAATATAAAGGAATAATAAAGTTTGAATCAAGGATAATATTAGAAGTAATATAAAGGAATAATAAAGTTTGAATTAAGAGATAATAAAGTTTGAATCAAGGATAATATTAGAGGTAATATAAAGGAATAATAAAGTTTGAATAGTAGTATTTTGGATTTGATATTTCAAGTGATTTTGGGAATGTTAGGTGTTAAATCCCAATTATTTGATTTTGCAAAAGTGCCATATTTGAAACTCCATTTTTTTTTCACCTTTGATTGTTGGAGTTTGTATTTGCATCAATACCATGAAGAATAGGAGTTTGTAGGATTTTGATATGAGCACCCAATTGGACGTTCCACTCATGTATAGGAATTGAGGTTAATTGTTTGAATTTTTGGCTACCATAAACAATCTAAAGATGTTATTTTGACAAGTTTCATGTGACAAGAATTGCAATTATAATGGCACTTCTGTCACTTATTTTTTTTTAGATATTTGAGGATGATTTCTAACTAGTAGTAGAATTATAAAACATTTTTGTGGACTTGCTATCATTCAATATCCATCTCAATTGTGAGACATAATTATCATATAAATGGTGTATTGTTGAAAAAACAATCATGTTCATTCAATTGAGTTTTGTAGGATATGTGTAATTGAAGTGGGAGTAAGAGATGGTTGATAAATGCTTTATTAAGAAGCATCAAATGTAAGAATAGGGTAGAAAAATGATTCTAGAAAAATCCACTTGGCACTGTATGAGGTCAATGAATCTTTGTTCTATTTGATGCCCTTATGCCTAAAAACTAGGAAAAACGACTTAGAAGATAGGATAAGAAATCTCCCAATTTTTTTCTAAACAATATTCAATTAAAATAAAGTTTGTGGTTTTGTTTATCATCTTCTAATCTAAAAAAATAAATATAACTCATGCATTAATTATGAAAGTTTCATAATGCAATTCTTATGGTAGTTGTATTTTCTAAGAATATTTTTTAAAAATTCTAAAACTATCTTTTTTTGATAACAAGTTGTGTCGATAAAATGTTTAAAGAAATATATTTTCAAATTTTTATTTCTAATTTCTAATTTCATCTTATATTACTTCTTACTTAATTTCTTTTTGCTTTGTTTTTTGTTTTTTTTGCTAAATTATGATATATTATGCAAAATAATATAAATGGCAAGGACTTAAAAGAGGCCAAGACTTTATTAATATGGTTTGATGGTGTTGCTAATTACTTAACAAGTAGCTTTTAATTTACATTATAAATGTTTTAAATATAAAACAGTCTACTTATAAAAATATTAATTTTTCTATAGAATGTATATGTTATTTTTTTTAAAATGTGAATTAAATTATAAGCATAAAAAATTAGTTAATAACTTCTGAGGAATTTCAAATAGATGTTATATATGCATGCAACATCCTATATATATATATATATATATATAATATCATTATGAGTGTATGAATATAATATAAGATTTTCAAATAAATACTTAATTTTTCGTAGTAACAAACTAAAATAGATAATTTCATAGTCTTTTCAACTTTATTAAAATTAAATTTGGACATCTGAAATTCATAGTGAATTTTGAAACTTATTCACAATGTTATTTTAGCTTTTATTTGAATGTGAAAATGTGAAAATGGTCACAATTTTCACATTCAAATAAAAGCTAAAATGTTACAGTCAAATAATCCAAATCATCCAATAAAAACTCTGCACACATGCAAGACATAAAATTCATCATTCATTATATTGATTCAATACAAAAAAGGAAATGTGAAATTAATTAGGCACATCCATTCACTTGTTCATTTATTTGGTCTAAATTTTATCAAAGAAAAAAGGAAAGTATCATTTTCTCTTTAACCAATCCACTTCGACATATCTATATGTTAAAACCCAATTATATCTTTAATTTTTAATTTTTAATTCAAGCGTTTCAGGAACATAAAGAAAAAAGACAAAAAAAGAAAAAAGCTAAAATGCGGCAAGGACATGACATTGCACACTCTCTTCACGCTCCCTTGTTGATGGTGCAGGAAAGGTCCTAGAAATACCCCCCCCCTCCCGGGACTCTTATCGTGCCACCTCAGCAATCCAGTCAGCCTCGACGCATCCACGCAAGCATCCAGCGAGGCAACCCCCCTTTACGAGGCAGCCCTGGGGGGTAGGGGGTCGCCATCCGTTTCAAAATGGGCAGGGCACTGAACCTCGGGCACAGCTCTCACGCCCAAGTAGGTTTCCAATTCTCAGAGCGTTGTTGCCACGACGAAGAATTTTACCCAATTGCGCAATCGCGCTTGTGAGCCCGTGAATTCGGCAATCCGACCCAATTTGGTGGTGATTGTGGGAGTTGTGTATCTCAAGATCGTTGAGGTGGAGTACTCTTGTGACTGTTGCTTATTAGTTCAATTCTGAATTGATTGTGTTTTGGGGGAATCGGTTCCAAGGGTCTGTGCTGTAGGATTTGCAACGGGCGTAGTTGTGTTTAGTGTGTATCTGCAGATTATGTGGCTTTATGAATTTTCTTGTCATTTTATTGCGTGGTCGTCGTCCGCGACTGGATTTTGTGATGCAGCATCAGCGACGACGGGTAGGGCTGTCTGTTGACCTTCGGAGTGATCGTGGTTGATATTTTTTTTTCAGACGAGGTGTAGGGTGGCAGGATATTGAGGCGGGGGCAAAGATGAAGATTATGGTGGCTGTGAAGCGGGTCATTGACTATGCCGTAAAAATTCGCGTCAAGGCTGACAAAGTAAGTTGCTTAATTTGGGCTTCAAAGTTGATTTTTTAATAGCAGTTGATGATATAATTTGTTGGTCTCAGTTGTGTTGTGTGTTCGTTGGAAGATCGTTTTCAGATCAATAGTCTGCTGCGTAATATCTGTGCCACTGTGGAGTCTTAGAGTTGTCATACCGATCATGATGGATTGCATCAGGAAAGATTAAATAAACGAAAATGATAAGCAACTCCATTGGGTTTTGTAAACCTTGGTCACGTAGAGTTGTGTCAATTTCAGTGTAGATTTGACAAACAGAGGAGCACTTGAATTGATGTGAACGTTTGTGCTGACTGATTGAATTTGTGCCACCTACAGAGTGGAGTGGAAACCACGAACGTAAAAATGGCAATGAACCCTTTTTGTGAGATTGCCCTCGAGGAAGCGCTGCGGCTTCGGGAGGCGGGTCATGCGAAAGAAGTGGTGGTAGTCAGCATGGGAGGACCTCAATGTGCTGAAACATTGCGCACAGGGCTAGCCATGGGTGCAGATCGGGCTATTCATGTCTCTACAACGGAGCTGCTTCACCCCTTGACGGTTGCAAAATTATTGCGCGGACTTGCTGAGTCTGAGAAACCTAATATGCTATTGCTTGGCAAGCAGGCAAGTTCCTTAATGTGGATCTTCTTTAAGGTTTTATTGGTGCTTGTTGTTGTCGGTTTTGGGATCTTCCAATAATCTCAATGGCAAGCATGCTTTATTATTTCTTCTGCAATATTCTAAGAAAATGTGCTTCCGCCTTGTATTCGAACATTTTGTGAGATAAGTAAACGACCTCAGCATGTCACTGCAGGCTATTGATGATGACGCTAATCAGACTGGGCAGATGATTGCTGGCCTGCTTCATTGGCCTCAAGGCACATTTGCTTCGAAGGTATGTCAATTATCCTGTTTCATGTTTCTTAGTGGACAAATTGTTGAGCTTGGACAACTAGCTACATTATGCAACATCTAATGTTGAGATACTTCGTCTCGGTCCATATGGGATGTGTAGGGGTATCCTTATTTCATCCCGTGTTCTCAACCTGGTATTAAAGAGGAATTATAATTGGCTAAATGGCGCCATGTCTTAACATTCCACAAAAGGTGCTCGCAGCCACCTGAGTGGCGAGATTGAAAGTTCTGTGCGCATTTGTGTTCAGGTGGCAATGGAGAAAGGCTCTGATTCAGTGGTTGTGGAGAGAGAAGTGGATGGTGGGCTGGAGAGTCTTAAGCTGCAACTGCCTGCTGTTATTACGTATGTATCTTCTGAGCTCATTCACCACGAATCTTATTGGTCAACATTATTAAAACAAACTTAAGTTCGATCCTTCAAAGCTGGAGACACGTTGATATTTATGTCTTGCATCATATTGCAGAACAGGATGTTCATGCAAAATTGTTTTTCTCTAATGTAAACTTGCTCTAGAATCTCCATACAATCCAGCAGCCATGCTTCTTTGTGATCTTAGAGAAGTAGATTCCAAGACCTGATCTTATGAAGAGGCAGTATGGAGTTTTTTTTTTTTTCTTAAACCTTCTTTTCAATAGTTTGGGGCTATTTGTCTGAAGATAGGTGGATCGTCGGTTTCTGATTGCAGAGCTGATCTCCGGTTGAACCAGCCTCGTTATGCTACTTTGCCTAACATAATGAAAGCCAAGAAGAAGCCCATCAGCCAGGTGACTCCCGAACAGCTGGGAGTGAAAATTAGCCGAGACTTGGAGATAGTGGAAGTAATAGAGCCACCCAAACGCAAAGCAGGAGTAATGGTGGCTTCTGTAGATGAACTTTTGGACAAGCTGAAGAATGAGGCGCGTGTCATATAAATCTAATACCACTACTCAGTTCGTATGTACAGTTATTCATATTCATGCTCGCTTTTCGGGTGGGGTTCGAATGTAAGGGCTCCGACTTTTCCTTTCAGAATTTTCTAGGATTGAGATGCGTGTGGAAGATAGTTGCTAGTATTTGGCATTATTAAGCTTCATAAAATTCTTGAATGATTTTGATAGAGCTATAGGTCGCTCAGTTCTTGTCTATTGAGAAAGCTACTGTAGCAGCTACTTAACAGTTTATCATTCTTTAGACAGCATATAATCACACGGTGTGATGAGTGAAGTTGATACTTCATTTTAAAGCATTCACTTTTTACTAAGAAATTTCTGCATATATTTTTTGCTTTCCTCCAGCACCCAGGTTCAATCCACCAAGGAGCTGTAATATCGGAGCCTAATCAAGGATGTCACAGTTGGTGCAGTATTCAAGGAACCAGTTCAATTGATTTGTTAAAGCAGCATCGAAACGAAACCGCTCAACTCTCTGAGAGGGTGTTACTTTTGCTAACAGAATAAAGTTCATTCAATTGGGATTGCAAATCCAATTCAATTTTGATCATGAGTGCTGAATTTTGAAATCATTAGCATTCAACGTTCAGTTGCAACAATATATCAATTAAAATCAGATGCTGAAGCAACAGTCATCTGAGTAACTCGTAGCTGCGACGAGGAAACTATTTTCACGTGCCTCGGAGGTAGCTAAATTTCTGTCGCCAAATTTAATACAAGCGGGAATTCTGCAAAAAAAATTCGAAGACGATCGCACATTACAGAGCTTTTGAAATGTGTCGTCATAACAGTAATCAAGATTGTTCCTATCAAAAGGATTCAGGGTTTTTATCCTAGATAAGATAGCAATGCTTAGACATCTCACCTTTCTGGTATTTTGTGTTTGCTTGCATCATGAGATGTACCCTTCCCAGCTTCACTGTTTCCTCCTTTCCTGCCATCCTTGTCGCGCTCTTCGTGAAGGCCTCAAGAGCCAGTAGTTTCTTTCTCTTCCTCTTGAAGTTCTTCTGAACAAGATTTATTGGTGCTCTGATCAGATTCACAGTCCTCCCTGAGGCCTCAGCTATTGTATCTTTAAAACTCCTTGGTAGAGTCATCAAATGTACTGCAGGTGCTACTTTATTCAAAACCTTGTTATTCTTCAAAATCGGATGGATTGTCCTCAAAATGGAGTTTCAAGAGCTATGAATTCAAAATCTCTACACAACTCCTAGGCAAGAGCTCCCCTGATAACAAATTTTGTAACAGTCCTCATAACATCCTCTGTTCTGTAGCACAAGAACTGTGCAGGAGTTGTTGATGGTAAAGGACAAGGCGATACATAAGACTTTTTGTTCTGTTCTACTTGGATTTGCTGCCGAAGCTCTTCCTCTGAGGGTGCAAAAGAGAGAAATTTTGGCATTTTCTGCTTGCCCAATTCGCCAACACGATGAACATATCCCACTACACTTTCAAGGAACTTATCACTGTGCGCAGATCTTCAAAGTAGATCGCTTTGAAGACCTCAAACTCAGTAACTATAGCTTTCAAATGCTTCTTCGGTTCACCTGGTTCAACTTCGAAGTCCTTGCTGCTGTCACTTCCTCTACTTAAAGGTCTAACGGGTTGTAGAGAGTTCCTCTCATCAGTAGCTAAGAAATGCTCAAACCAACCAAAATTGATGTGCTAATAACTGTGAGGACGGGATTTTTGTAGTAACTCCCCATCCCGGAGCAGACTTTGTTCCGAAATGTTCCAAGAAGACTTTCAACCTGAATCTCACGTCAATAGTGTAAACAACTATTGCAGCATTCTTCTGAATCAGGTTGTATTTCAAGATTGCCAACGTGTGCAGTAGCTTGGTCTTGCTCTTACAATGGACAGACAACAGTTTCACGTACCTGTGAACACTGACACAAAGAGACAGTAGCGATCATAAACAAACACTGACGTTTTTTTTAGGAATATGCACAGCCAGGCTCCGCATGCAAAGGATCCTTCATCTAGAATTGAGTCCGATTACTAGAAACCCCACGTCCTATTCTGCGTCGTCGTTATCGCGAAGGCCCTCCTTTACCCCCCCGGAGGAATCACTTTGTCAGCAGCGAGATTCAGCTCAACACTCTTTCTGAGCCTCTCCTGCACCTCCACCCCGGTCTCGCCATCGCCTCTCAGTCACGAACCTCTGTAACAGCGGAAGGAAATACCCAAACCAATTCCAAAGCATTGTCAAGTCCCCAGTGTGTTAACGGGCACAGCCAGGACTTGCAGATGCTTCGGAAACCTTAAGCCCCAGCCTTAAGCCTTCTTCAGCCAGAGGGATCGTGGGCTCTGGATGAATAAATTCTGTGAGATGACATATCTTCTCATCGTATCATCCTCCGCTGACGAAATTCAAGGATTCAGAATTACCAAACCCCCCAAGCGCAGTTGAGAAGGTTCACCTACAGGTGTCTTCCAAATGCTCGAAAGCTAACCGTATTCTGAAGATACAAAGCAATGTGTCGTGACAGGATTGTGTCCCCTTGCACGTGGGGATAGAACCCCCCTTACAATGGGGAGGACCATAAATTTTACTATAATCTGGGTTCGACGTGTGTTAAACAAGCCCCACATTTAAACGCAAGGGCGTTTGTATGCCAATAGCTACTCGCACAGCCTTCATCTAAAAACGATGAAATAGAACTGTTATCGAACTGTATTACTCTAGGACCTGGTGTATGACTATTTTTTTCGGGCTGCTCCGGCGCAAGAATGCTGAACGCTCATGGTTAAGTGCACTGGCGCAGAGAAATACCAGACAGAGTAGGTAACATAAAGTCTGCCGTCATTGATGCTCTGAAATAACTCAGAGTTCCATTCGAGAGGGCAAGACCCATAAGAGATAATCCCGACAGCAGTGCTCACTGCTCCGACACAATCGCAATAACCATGTACTAGGACAGTTCGATGGAACCTCGTCTCATCCATTCAGCTTCGCAGAGCTTAGATGAAGCTGCAACCGCGATGGTTTTAGGAGCAGGCAAGCATCTTTACAGGTCAAGTGTTGTGTGGGTAGTGCACATACACACTAATAAAAAAATACTGCCAGAGATCACACCTTGGACGAAGTCATCTTTTCTTCAAACCGACGATAATAAAAGAAACGGGGCCTGTCGTCAAGACATGTATGCTCCTCCAATCGACTCGTAAACTATCACTTTCTCTAAGATTGAAGTACTATAGGCAATCTGCCCATCTACAGCTCCTCCATAAAAACTAGGCCAGAAATTAACGGTGACTACAGCACTAATACAAGCCCCTGGTGCTTATCTGGCGCTGGTTACATGACAACAAGACGCTAGGCTAATCCCCAAAGAACATGGGTGTTGGCAATGGTGAGCATCACTCTGATTGTCTTCATGGCTTGATTACAAAAAGAGGCTGCACATTGTTCAAAAAAACCAAAAAAGAATAAAAGATTGACGTAAGAAAAGCAACAACAATTCTGCCTCCAATGAGAGCTGTCGAAAAAAACACCGTCGACGTAGCAAGAGTATCAAAAGCGTGTCTGACAAAATGTAGAAGGGGAAGGTAATAGCTCTTACCGACTCCATAGATACGGGCTTTCCGTCCTCAGCCAGAATCTCAACAATTGTCCCTGACTGATCAGCCTGTACATAAACAGACAAGAGACATACGTATAAATATAACCATAGCAATGTCAAGTACACGGATAACGTTGACGGAAACTCTATGATCCATCTTCTAGACAAATGTCCACCCTGACCTCTTCGGTAAGAAACTCGACTTCAAATAATCCTGGTACGTGAAAAACTGAAAGAGATGGCCTCAGTGACTTGTTTCATTGAGGAAAACTATCTTTCCAGCGAGACATTGAGCAAAGAAGCAGAACATAAGATACCATACGTCACCCCGAACACTCACCTCAATTTCGTTCATCAACTTCATTGCCTCCACGATACAGACAACCTGGCCTTTGGTGACCTTGTCTCCAACCTATAAGACCGTGAAACGATTCATCGTCAGTCAAAAAACTTCACGTCATACTACAATACGAAATAAACTGAGATAAGAATTAATAAGAAGAAACACGTTCTAACCTAAGCTCGCATCAAAAATTAAAGACCATTACCAATCAAACCCACTTCACATTTGAGAGACGTCCCGGAGTACAGCAAACACAGTAAGAGAGGGAAAAAAACAAAGAACAAAAATCGGTTAGATTCAATCCGTTAGATGCAATCCGTTAGATTCACCCCGGCACAAATTCCTCTGGGAATTGGATAATAAGAGTCGATTTGTTCATAAGGAATATCAATCGAATAAATAAGTTGAGAAAAGAGTAGACAACCACCAAAATAAATGGTGACCGGACACAGGTTGTACATCAGATACCTTCACATATGGAGGTTCACCAGGACCTGGACATTTGTAAAAAGTTCCAGCCATAGGAGAGAGCATAGGCGGATACTCAGCAGCAGCGGGAATGGCGTCCTTTACAGGCGCAGGAGCAGAAGCAGCTGGGGGACTAGCACTAGGCGCCTCCAGAGCTGGCGGTGGGCTTTGATGTTGTGGTTGCTGATATCCTGGGAATGTGGTATGAGCCATAACATGTGGGCCTGGAGCAGACTGCTGAGGAGCTGGAGAAGGTGGCAAGGCTTCCTTCTTACGGATGATCAACTCATAATCCTTTTGTTTTAACTCGAGCTCTATAATATCTCTGGTGTCAACTAGCCTGCAGTATTGAATAAATTATTAGAAAACCAATAAATGCTCCACCGCAAAGAATACAAACGGATTTGGGGAATCCCTATGAGTGCTGCATTGTAGACAGAAAAACATGACAACAACCACCTACTTGATCAAATTGGCAACGTCCGCCATAAAAACAGAAGCAGCTGATGCAATTGAAGCAGATGACTCAGTCGCAGACTTGTCCTGGGCAGAGGGACCTTCGAATTTCGTGGATGTATTGTTGCCCGACCCGTCTACGGCAACCTGGCATTAAACGACATAGACGTTCAGCTTCTGTATTGGGGCTTCCAAGCTACGTATAAACATATTGGAATTTATGCCAAGTGTGAATCGGAATACGCATCCAGGTATCCACGAAACAGGAGATTCAATGCAGAACGCTCTTAACTTCCAAAATCTGGTGGACAAAATGATGAACGCCTACTTGGAGGCACCAGAAGGAAGTCATTCAAACAAACTATCGAAGGCATTTCCACTACAAAACCACAAGTACAGATGCACAACAGAATCTCTACCTCGTTAACAACGCTAGCAACGGTCCGTGGCCCGGATCCCTGCAGACCTCCAAAAACACACCGTAAGAAAAACCAACGCACCCGAATGACAGATACACCTCAAAAACCACACCCAGAACATACTGCCCACTCCACACATGCGAAACGAGCACCAGTACAAAACAAACCAAAACTCCAGGCATACTACCACAGCCTTGATACCAGCAACGACTCGACCCACATTGGAGGCGCGGAGGGCGAAGCGTTCGACTCCAGCGCCGAAGAAGCTAGAGGAAGCGACCAAGCGCGGCTGCCCCCAGCAGCAACCAACCTCCCGCCTGTGGGCGGAAACCACCACCTGCACCCTGGAGACGCCACTGGGCGGCGCAACAATCTCAGAGCTGATGCTACCGCTCGTCGCAGGAGCTCCCACTACCACTCTCCCCGCTGCTGTGGACGCCATAGCTCTGCTCCCAATCCCTCAATATCTCCCTCTCGCTCTCGCTCTCTCTCTCTCTCTCTCTCTCTCTCTCTCCGCTAGACCTCCACCAAACCTCGCCAATGCAGGCAGCGAACTCGCTTTGCTCAGGGGCGAAAAAGGAAGCTACACTGAGTTGCTGCAATGCGAATCTGCGCAGGCAGGCAGCCCAGAAGGGGATGCGATGGGATTGAATCCCAAGACCAGAGTTGGCGAGAAGACGGGAACAGTAGCACGAAATGAAGACGGAGTAGATCGGGTGAGGCAGAATGAAGGCGGAGCAAACGAAGGCGCACGGGCGGGGGCGGGCCTCGGTGATGTCGAAGTCCAGGGGTTGGTTGGAGTTCCCCTTTCAGATAATACCGTTCCCCGCCCCCGCCTTTTCCCCTCCGCCTCGCCTTTTTCTTCCACCCTGTCTTTTTACCTGGCGTGACTGGGCTACTTTAGCTTTTATCTCGTTTCGCTTTTACCACAACATCCTTTTTTCATTTTCTTTTTCTTTTTTTGTCTTGCTTTCTCTTCATTTCCGTCTGCTTGCTCCTTTTCCTTCCCCGTTTTGCAAATCATCACTTACAATGAATAAAATGTGAATCATTCTTACTCGGTGACATTCTGTGAATATTGGAACGTTGAATGCTAGTGACATGGGCTTTATTTTTTCAACCCGAAACATGCCACGCCCATTGAATTTCAAAGACTCCCTACGATTTGAGAATCTGATTAACTTACGCATTGATCATTCAAAAAACACTTTTTTAAAATTTGCAGTCATGCTGTGTAAATTTATTTATAATTATATTAATAGCATAAACAAATAAAAAATATTTTAATGAAAATAAATATTTATAAGAGACGTGAAAGTCTAATTTTAAAATTTTCCTATTCTTAAAATTTTAGAAATGTATTTATTATTTACTATAATTAATTAATTAATTATATGAAATAATTAGTTCTTGAATTTTTTATCTGTGAGTGAGTGTATGTGTGTTTGACTATATATATATATATATATATGTATATATATGAAGGAAATTTATTTAGCAAGCTAAATAATCGCTGTAGGCATTTTAGAAAGGCAATAAAAACCTCAATTAAAGGAAAAAATAAATAAATAAATTCTAGTATTAAGTACTGTTATAAATTACAATAACATTTAAAACAATTAAAATATTTGGTGCACAAAACATTTTATGCAAAAGATATTTTTTTACACCACAAAATTCTTATGTTGAATAAACTTGTAAAACTATCATTTAAACTAATTCATGAAATTTGTAGGTTGAACATATATCTCATCATTTCATAGTTGGTTTTTTTAAGATTTAATGTAAAATTGAAACTATCATCATATTAAGATTTTAATGTAAGAGGTTTTTTTTCTAATGAAATACTTATTCTAAATCTCAAAAAAACATTAAAGGATAATATAAAGATTATAATTTATTCAATTGTTACTTTAAATAGAAGCTACTTTAGTTAAATTATCATCTATGTTGTAACTACCAACTACAAATCAAAATTGAAGGTACAAAACTTTTACAAAATTGCCAATCAATCACAATGCAATAAAGTATGATGCCACAATAAAAAGTTGATGTTTATTAGAACTTCAACTTATAAATGTTGTAATGATGTAAATAGGATTCATAGATATGAAAGAATCCTATCTCTTTTTTCCAAAAATTTAAGTAAATTAATAATTTAGATTTATTCCTTTGTATTTTTTTTTCTATGAAACTCTTTTAGCTCTAATATTAAGGTTTTTACTACTTTTGGATTTAATTTTTTTTATAATTATATTCTATTATATTTAAAATTTTATTTTTCAAATATTTTATTATTTAAATACTAAAATATTTAAATACTAAAAAAATTTAAAATATGAAATATTTAAATATATTTTAAGTATTTAAATACTAAAAATAAATTATTTAATTAATTATCTTTAGATTCTTAATTATATGTATTTTATATATTTAAAAAATCTATAGCCTTAACTTTACTTTTGATTTAGCTTCAAATTATTTTATTATTTCTTTTATACATATATTTAAAATCTTTGGTTTAAGTTAATTAAAGATTAGATTTGTAAGTATAAAGTATATTGACATTTAGAAATAATATAGATTAATAGGGAGTTTTTGTAGCTTTAACTGATTGCCATTAATATTATTAATTAAAGGGATCAAATAAATATTTTTTAAACTTGTAAAATTAGATTTTTTTCTTAAATAATAAAGATCCTTAATGTCAACTTCTTGGAAGAGATCTAAAACAAAAAGAAAAAGAATTTTGAGGCTTAAAAGAGGTTATTAACGAAATCTTATTCCTAGCTTAACTTTAAGAAAAAAAAAAAAAAAAAAAAAATAGTAAATTAGTATTTGAATAAGAAAGATATGGGCTTTTAAAGCTAAGCTGCAAATTTAGTACCTATTGCTACTTTTTGAAATATAACTGATGTATTTTGAAAGTTATAGAATATTAGAAAAAATAAATTAGAAAAAATCTTTTATAGACTAAATTTTTTATTTAAAGATAAAATATTTAGATCTATAATAAAGAGGATATTATGAGTTAAAAAAAGTACATATAATCTATAGATTTTTGTGATTTATTTTGATGATGGTTATATTTTGAGTCATATGTTGAGATACATAATCAACTTTGGACTCAAAACTTAAAAATTATAGAATTTATTTCTATTAAGCTATACAAAAAGTTTCAAGATATTCAAAGATTGATATTTTAAGATATGATAGAATTAATATTTTGGTATCTATAAAATAGTATTTTAAATATTAATTTAATTTTTGTAAGGTATTCCAATATTAACAAAGATTTTTTTTTTATTTTTTTTTATTTTTTTATTTTTTTTATGACATTTATGATATATTTATGACAAAAAATTTAGACATAATTTTGATTGTTTATGTAATAAAAATTTATCAAGTTCTAGAAATTAGAATATTAAAGGTTTTTGACTTAGCTATTATATTAGAAATCTAAAATCTTATGCCCCAATTAAGATAAATTATTATTAAAATGACATTGAATAGGTTTAAAGAATGGATGAGGAATAAAAAATTTGATGAAGATACTATCAAAATGATAAAGAAACTATTCTTACATTTTATAAAGCAATATCTAAAGAGACAAAAAAAAACCTCTTGAACTTCTTAGAAACATTCAAAAGTTAGCTTTCTATGTCTAAAAGGTATTTTAGATTAGCCAAAAGTTTGATTTGTTTTTGCAAGTAATAGATGTAGTCTTAGAAGATTAGTTCCTATTTTTTTAGTAGATAAAGTTGCAAAAGGTGAATTCATTAAAAATTAAAGAAAGGTAGAAGAATCTATTATCTTATTGGCCAAACAATAACATATAAGGTCTAGAGGTGCTAGAAAGTATGAAAATTTTATGTCGGTAAGCACCTTTAAAAATTGTTTGTCTTAATAATTTAAGATTTTTTATTTATATTAATAATTCTATTATCAATTACTAAAAAATCCAAAGTTATGGGTGATAATACTTTAGAAAAATTAATCAAAGAAATAAAGAAGTTGAGATTTGTAGTAAATAAGCTAAAGATAAATCAAACAAAAGAACCATTATTACATATACAAGAATCAAAAAATTATGTAATGAATTATCTTTAATATAATGATAAAAATTAGAAAAATAATAATTGCACAAAGTATGCTGGAGCTTTAAAGGATTAAAAAGTAATCTACAAGAAATGAAGGAAGAATTAGAAATTCATTTGCAAATAATCAATTGGATACAAATTTTGACAAAAGAGGGATGAGAAGGTGAATAGAAAATTAAATAATAGCAATGGAATTTCAAACTTTACGAGGTACAAAAACCTACTAAATTTTAGCATTGCAAAACAATGTAGAAATTCCATGCTATATAACTTAAACAGAAGGCATATAAAGAATGAGGTCCAAGATGTGGTTGTGGAAGTTAAGAGAGTGAAGAATGTAAAAGAAAATGGAGTTGAAAAGTCCACTGAGAAAGGAAAATCTCCAAAAACCAATGAAAATGAATAAGAAAGGAAGTATCAAACTTCTAAAGTGATAAGCCATCATAGACTACACTATCAACTTTATGTCTTAATACATCATCATCATCATCAACATCATCAAAAGATAAATGTAAAAAAAAATAAAGAATAATCAAGAAAAGAAACAAGAAGATTTGAGCAAAAATTAGACTAAATTCTATACCAACAAACTTTTAATTTGATATTAAATCTTTAATAGATATGAAAGGGATACTATAAGAATGGATTTTGGATGCAAAGATAAAATTGATCTTGAAAGAAGCTTTAAAAATTGCAAAGAAGGATTATTATGAATTTATTATTGATATCATAAAAAATATAAAAAATATTTAAACAATTATGTCTTATGCAATAAAAACTTATAAAATCAGAGAAAATAAAATGGACTTATATTCTTTATAATAAGTGATTAAAAAGCCAATGGAGACCAAATTAAAAAAGAATACAATAAAAACTTACGAATTCAAAAAAAATAAATTAATAGAGTTTTAATGATAATATAACAAAGGATTTAGAGATCAAAGTTTTAGATATGTTTTTTTTTCTAAATTCTATATAAGATTTAAAGAAATTATTGTTAAAAAAAAAAGAAAAAGTAATTTGAATAGATGTGAGAACAAAAGACAAACCAACATAGCAATTGAAGTGAGTAAAGACAATTTGACAGGAAATGCACCAGTACGTGCATATTTGTTTCCTATTGGTGATGAGATAAATATCAAATTTTAAGATATAAATTAATAAGTTAAATCTGTTATTTAATTTAAAATTAATAAGTTATTTTAAATATCTTATATCATTAAAAATATTTAGCCAATGATATGTTAAAAATCACTAAATTCTATACTAGTCTTTTTTACTTGATTCATAATAACTTTAAAATAATTAATTTTCTATGATTAATATGATTTTTTTCATATTTATATTTTAAATATAATAATTAAGAAATACTAGATTTTTTCTTATATATATATAATTAATTATATATTAAATAATCATAATCTTAGATCTAATTATGCTCTTTTAATTGTGCAACCTCTAAACCTAGATATAAATTATTTAACTTTTAGTTATATATATATATATATATATATATATATATATATATATAATCAATAAAAATTTAATTATTATATAGTATATTTATAATATAATTAAGAAATCTATGTTAAAATTGAATTACAAGTTTTTCACAAATAAATAGTAGACATCTATCAAAAATAATGATAGTATTTCTAATATATTATATTGCATTTTGAAACA